CATCAACTGAATTGGGTCAAGTAGCCCTGTCCTTGTGGAATGTCATGTCTGCCAATCCCAGGTTGAGTATCTCAATCTGACAATCCCTCGGTTTATCATTTTATGAACATATTCCAAAGAAAGAAATTGTTTTTACTCTTGTGCCCTAATTAAAATGCTGACTTTCACCTTTAGCTTGAGAAACTTCATTCCCTTAGATGAATGATTGTTATTTCCTGGAAGGTCAAAATGATCTCAGAACTTTTCAGAGTTATCTTGAGCCAGCCTTTCAGTCCTGAGTAGACGTTTGCTGTTTTTGCAACTCAGAATAATCACTTTCCCTTCTTCAGGTTCTAGCCCACTGTGACCTTTATGACAGCCACCTCTCCTCGATTTTTAGTCTGTTTCATTCTGAAAGAGGGTAATTCCAGCTGCTTTCTTGAGTCAATGCCCTGGTCATTGGGCATGATGAGTTTATTAAGGGAAGGGCATGTGATTCAATCTAGGCCAACGAGCATCCAAGCTAGACATTTTTGTTTAAGTCTTTGGACCTAGAAGCTCCTTTTACAACTGGTGTGGCTTACAAGATGGTATAGGTATAGAGGTGTGGCCATCCATCCTGTCAGAAGGAAGGAAAATCTGTTAATGGAGCCCACAGAAGTAAAAGAAGCCAAGAAGCAGAGAGACTGAGGCCTGATCTTAGCCCCTGGCTTAGCCATACGAAAACCAGTGTCACCACTGACTTTCCAACTGTGTGAATCAGTAACTTCCATTATTGCTTTAGGTTTTTTGAGTTGGGTTTGTAACGTTCTCAAAAAAGGAGCTCTCACTAAGACATATTCCTGCCCCAACCACCATATACAAAACCACATAAAGAACCAGAGAGCCCAATTCCCAAATAGATCACATGTGCAAATTTTCATGCATTCATGAAATGATTTCTCCAGAATTAATCTCTTTGTCTTATTCATGTTCCCACAGCATTCAGAAGATACCTCAAATTAAGGTACTTTGAGTTGATGGGATTTGTCTTTATATCTTCCTTGGGAGATTTTAGCTACTTAAGAGCAGGAATTACATCTTAATCATATTTGTATCTCCACCACTTAATATAGCCATTAGCACATAAGATCTCCAATAAATGGTGACCAAATTAAATTCCCACAGTGGGATAGAAATATTATGATGACCTTCTATTTCCAGAGACTTCCAGTCCAGTCTCATTGTCATTTGCCTGACCTATGTAATAGAAATCCCAGGACCTGCTACCTTGGATGGTCTTAAACCCTTTTGCCCCAGATTCATTTCTGGAATTTTCCACTACCCTATTTTGTATAACAAAGGGAATGGACTTTCATATTTTCATGTTGTCTGGCTTCTGGCTAGGTTCCACCAATGGGTACCAGTGGGAATTTGGAGAATAAAGGGAGGACCCAGAGTATTTTTCCCCTTCTCTCTGTCTCAAGCAGATTCTCAATTAGTAGCTTGGTCTCTACAAAAAATAACTAGATCCTGCTGGGAGAGCTAACTTCAGTTTCATCTGAGCTGTGTGACTGTGGTGTCTAGACTCCAACACTATCTCCTCCCAAGAAGGTGAGGGATTTCTACTTTAGCTAATCTCTTGCTTGCCTCACTCTTTCTGTTTTCTTTTCTTTTTTTTTTTTCAGCTTCTTCCATCACTTGCAATAATTAATGCCAAGTATTTATACCATTTGAAATACTGAGTGATTTCTGTCTTTTTGTTGGAGCCTGACTGATACTGTGCCAATTTTTTTTTAAATGCCAATAGCATTTAATTATGTGTTGTGTCTGGAGCCCTTGGAGAGGCTCCCTGTACCTCCAACTGCCTTATGCCCGCTGACCACAGATGCCTAGAATTACCTCTGAAAGGGTAATTCTTTCCAGACATCTTCATTAAAATAGAAAACCTTTTGCGCCATTGTTTTTTTCCTTACTCTAAGGAACTTAGGGCTGAGTTATGGTACATCTGATCTCATTGAGACACAAACCCACAGGGAGTTTCTACAACTCTCACTCTATGAACATAGCTGATATAAACTGACTATTCTCTCTCCACCCAGGGGAGCTTGTACTGAAAACAAACTCATTTGAAATAAGGAAGTCAAATGTACCCACTTCCTTTCACTGAGTGACTTACTCTGCCCTGAGTGGCAAAACAAGGAAATGTTGAAGAACTTTAGGCAGAACAATTTCTCTCAGCCCATGACAATAGTGGTGTCTCCTGATGGTTATCATTATCTTCAAGAAGGCAGAGATGGGTTTGTAGAGACACTAAAAATATCTCCAATTAATACAACTAAAAAAAGGAGAGAGTATTTTCTATTCATCAACACTAAGTATTGCATCAGCCATGGTGCCAGGCATTAAGGTAGAGGTAGGCGTGCAGGGAAAACTGTGAAGTGGTCAAGTTCTTGGTCACCACTCAGATCACAGACGTGGTCCAGGCCTGGCTGAAGGCTAAGGATTCGCTCTCTTTCTGTAGTCTAGCCCATAGGTGTTTGCTACTATTACTAGGAGGGCAAGCCCCACAGCTGCTTCACAAGTGGCGAAAACTAGGAGAATAATAGGAAGTATGGCGGTTAAAATGAGGTGATTGTTTAGTACAAGGAGTGAAGATAATACAAACAGTGATAGTTCTGTCTCTCATTCTCTAGTTCATGGAGGAAATGGATGGGTAAACCTTAAAAAATATATAAAAAAACTGTAAAATTAAATTTGGCATCATAAATAATGATTGTGATAATAACAGATCACAAGCCATAAATAAAATAGAAATCTTTACATTGATGATGGAAATAAACAAATACATTTGCTGTTTAATGAAGAACAAGATATTTTCATGACCTTAAACAAATACATACCCCACTACTGTTTGTTAATTACAAAGGTCAGAAAACTAACTTTACAATGGAGAAGCCTAGAAGACACCATCTTAATTAAGCAATGTTAAGTGAATACATGTACTCTATAACAGGACACGTCGAATTGTACCTGGTAGGATGCAATGAGAATGCAGCATCGCTTTTGTAATATCCTCACCAATGATATATATAACCTGAATTAATCACAAGAAAACACCAAACAAGTCCAAACCAAAGGACATTCTATAAAATAACTGGCCTGTAATTTTTATGAGTGTCAAGATCATGAAGATCAAGAAAAGACAAGGAGGGACCAGCAGTCAGCGTAATGGCTATGTTGCTGGACTCCCACGTAGTCGGCCGCGGTTCAAGTCCCGGACCTGGTGGCTTAAACTCACGCCGGGCGCATGTGTGTGCGTGCCCAAGATCCCTAGAGGAGAATGGAGAAGAAGGGATGGCGGCGTGGCCATCCCCCCTGGGGGGTGATTTCTCGCTTTCTGTCTCTCTGTCTGTCTGGGGAGTACATGCCCCCTAGAGCAAAAACCTCTCAAAAAAAAAAAAAAAAAGAAAGAAAGAAAATAAAAAAGACAAGAAAATAATTTTTGAAGAATTATTTACTTAACCTTATGTATTTTTTACTATTATTTTAATTTGCCATAGGGCACATGCACTCACAAGAGAGAAACAGAAAGCAAGCTGCCAGATCTGGGACTCACGCTACAGGCGGCCATCTGGAAATGTAGCACCTTAACCATCATGCCACCTGTTGGCCCCAAGGAATGCCTTTTGATTGAAGGAGACAAATAAATGAACAAATGGATTGGTGGGTAATAAGGCAATGCTAATTTCATAGTTGTTTTATCTGTGTTATGATTATGTAGGATAATACTGTACCTTATAGGAAAAACACACTAATTTGTGAAATGATGGTGAGGCATGAGCAACTCCATTTTGAATACTCCACTACCGTTTCTCTT